GAAAAGTTTGGACTAGAAAGAGATTGGACACATTAGCGTAAATATGGCACTTAAGAGACTAGGGATTAAGCGTAGGGAAGGCCATCAAGGTCAAAGACAGGGCTTGGTGCCCATAGCACAGTGGTTATGGCACTGACCACATGCACCGGGGCTGGCAGGTTCAAACCCAGCACGGGCCAATTAAACAAAGGTGTTGTGGCAGGTTCCTGTACTCCCAGCTATTTGGGAGGCTGAGGCAAGAGAATGGCTTAAGCCCTAGAGTTTGAGGTTGCTGTGAGCTGTGATGCCACAGCACTCTACTGAGGATGACATAGTGAGACTCTGTCTCAAAAAAAAAAAAAAAAAAAAGATAAACTAAATTACTGGATCCGCTAGAAACTAGTCTCCTGGAACTGAAGTGAAGTATGATACAACAAAGGAATGAATGGCAGAGTCCAACCAAAGCCTGAGGTCTCAAAAAAGCAAGATTGAGAATTGATCATTCAACCTGGCAAAATGAAAGTATATACAGCTAACCTCAACAAAGGCAGTCAAGTGGAGGCATGAAAGCCTCCTGAATAGACTGGATATGTGAATATCAAATGGACTGAACAGCTAGACAGACCCAAGTACAGTTGACCTTTAACATGGGTTTGAACTGTGCAAATCCACATAGAAGCAGATTTTCTCCTCTGCCAAGACAGCAAGACCAATTCCTCCTCTGCCTCAGCCTACTCAACACAAAGAGGAAGACCTACCTATATGATGATCTACTTCCACTTAATAGTAAAAATATTTACAGTTCCCTATGATTATCATAATTTTATTTTCTCTAGCTTTATCTTATTAAGAGACAGGATCTCACTACCTTACCCAGGCTGGGCTTGAACTCCTAGGCTCAAGTAGTCCTCCTGCCTCAGCCTCCTGATCTCTATCTTACCTTTTTCTTTTTAATTATGGGTATATAACGAGTACCTTTAAGAAAATATATATAAAACATGTTAATTGACTGTTACTGGAAAGGCTTCAGGTCAACAGTAGGCTATTAGTAGTTAAGTTCTGGGGAAGCCAAAAAGTTATACTTGAATTTTCAACTGTGTGGAAGGTGTTCCTAATGCCCTCATTGTTCAAGTGACAGTAGTACTCCAAGGTTAATTTTGTTCACAGTAGAACGGCTAAGTCAGCAACAACCATCTTAGAAAATGAATACTGTCCTTTTCTTTCAGCACAGAAATTATAAGATCAAAAGGAAGCCATGTGGAAGATCCTTTCCTGTTAAAGAAAACTCTTTAACACATGTAAAATTCTATTACCAACCATAATTAGTTCAGTCTCTACAGGGGATTCATCAACATTTTATTTTTTTGAGACAGAATCTCACTTTGCCATTCCTGGAAGTGTGCTATGGCTCACAGAGCTCACAGCAACCTTAAACTCACGAGCTCAAGTGATCATCTTGCCTCAGTTTTTCATTTTTAGTAGAGACAAGGTCTCACTCTTGCTCAGGCTGGTCTCAAACTCCTGAGCTCAAGTGATCCACCCACCTCAGCCTCCCAGAGTGCTAGGATTATAGGCGCAAGCCACCTGTGTCCCACCTCCATGAAGATTTTCAATCACTTTAAATGCCCACCTATAGAAACAGTTCAACTCATTGTTGAAGGTACTATTTACTCCTATTTTTCAAAAATTAAGATTACAGGCATCTGGCTAGGCATGGGGTAGCTCACACATAATCCTAACACTCTGGGAGGCTGCTGTGGGAGGATCACTTGATGCTAGGAGTTTGAGAGCAGACCAGGCAACAGAGAGAAATGCCATCTCTATTAAAAATAGAAAAAATTGGCTGGCGCAGTGGCTCACCTGTAATCCTAGCACTCTGGGAGGCCAAGGTGGGTAGATTGCTTGAGCTCATGAGTTCAAGACCAGTCTGAACAAAAGCAAGACCCTGTATCTACTAAAAAGAAAAACTAAGGCAAGGGAATTGCTTGAGCCCAAGAGTTGGACATTGCTATGAGCTATGATGCCATGGCATTCTACCCAGGGCAACAGCTTGAGATGGTCTTAAAAAAAAAAAAAAAAAAAGAAAAGAAAAAAAAGAAAAAATTAGCCAGGCATCAGGGCAGACACCTGTAGTTCCAGCTACTGGGGAGACTGAGGCAGGAGGATCACTTGAACCTAGGAGTTTGGGGTTGCTGTGAGTGAGGCTGATGTCATGGACTCTATCCTGGGCAACAGAATGACATTGTGTCTTGGGATTAAAAAAAAAGATTACAGACATTTTCTTCCTCTTTTTTGCTTCACTGCTAGAAATCATAATCAAATTAACAAGCTGACCAATGTGTCAGCTTGCCAGTTGAGATTTCTTTTTTTTTTGAGACTGAGCCTCAAGCTGTCCCCCTGGGCAGAGTGCCGTGGCATTACAGCTCACAGCAACCTCCAACTCCTGGGTAAACACAAAAATAACCTGACTGTAGAGGGCCAAACAGTAAAAACACACACAAGCTGACAGAAGGTGATCCAGTCATTCCTTAGCCCTCTTTCACTTGCTGGACTGTCAGGCTCCTCCTGCCTCAGGGTACACACAGATACTATTTGCTCAGCTCGAAATACTCTTCTTTTAGCCTCTGCCTGGTGGATGTACCCTGCTGATATTATGTAACAATCCAGTCGCATCCTGCTTTTTCCTTTAATAGCACTCATCAAAATGATTATTAAAATAAAGATGGCAAAACCTTAATTTGACCACTCTTTGACCACCTGCCTAAATCCCACCTCACCATGGGTTAGGTAAAAACATAGATACTATTTCTAGGAAAGGTATGCTTCTTACAGTGTTAAGGCAAGTAAGTAAAAGTCAGTGGCAAACATTTTTAAATTTAGAAATTTATTCTGTTTAATCCACAAGCTTTATATAGCTTTAGTTAAAAAAAAAAACAAAAACAGTGGAACCAAGACACTATTTCAAAAGTATGGGCCCTTCCAGCCTTCCAAATACAAGAGCTCTGAAAGTTGTATATACCAATTGGAAGAACTAGACAAAAATAAGAATGGAGCCATGACATTGCATAAAACAAATTTTATGTAACTGAAGGATCCTCCCTGGGACTAATTGCCTTTATAAAAGAAAAAAAGAAGAAACAAAAACAGAAGAACAAAATAGAATGAAATTCCAGTGTTCCAAATCAACCTGTTACATGTCAATATAAACCCACAGTGTCCTGGCAAACAACATGCTTTCATTCTGTCTCATCCTCGAGCTCAAATCCTGATTCATTTCAGCAGAGACTCCACAGGCAACAGGAAAGATGTGGCATTAAAATATTCATTTATACTTTTGTGGTAGATTCAACAGTGGTCTTATTTCTGGGCAAGCTTACAAACCATACAAGGTTGGCAGCATAACTTAAATGGGTGCTAAGACTCAAAGGAGAAAAAGTTAAGAAAAAGGAAAAAAAAAAAAAAAGGAAAAAATCCTCTGGAATAGCCAGGGGCATTTAAAGAAACCATAAGAATGCCAACAATATTTAAACCCCCTTTTTTAAAAAGAGAATTTTTTTTTGGCTTAAAATATTTCCCTCTAAATGAATTTATGTCAGCTGTCAATGAAAGAATGTCACTAATACACTGTGGACACCTTTGCAATGTAAATCCATGCCCTTTTTTTTTTTACATGGTGAACTTCAACCTAGCAATTATTACAACAAATGTTATAGTCTAAAGCTCAAACACATTTTAGCAATTTTGAAATTGAATTGCGTACAAACCAAATAAAATTTACATCATAACAAACATTTCCACCTAAGACTGTGGGGACACTTGAGCCTTCCGCATTGATCTCAGGGCCTTTTCACGCAGGTGCTTTTCTAAGTCATCAAGGTTATCTTCAGCTTCACTTTCAGTCTCCTAAAAAATCAGAGTAGTCATGTTAAATCTTGAGACAACTGTGGAAGACAATGAACAAAGAGCCTAATCAAACTGTAGTGATGGGTGCACAACTCTAAATATATTAAGATTCAATGAATTATTCACTTTTAGTGTTTTATCTTAAAAGAATTTTGTTTTGTAAGAGATAGGTATCACTCTACTGTAGCCCAGGCTGGTCTGGCAATGGTGCATCATAAGCTCACTATAATCTCACACTCCTGGGGACTCAAGGAATCTAATCCTCCCACCCAGGCCTCCCAAAGCAATGGGATCACAAGTTTGACCCACCTCATCTGGCCACCTAGGAGTTACGCTTTGTAAATAAACAACATTAAGCTTTTTTGCAGTCACTTGTGTTCTAATTCTTGGTCCTGGCAAATCACCAAGAAACAGATCTAAATAGGGTTTTTTAATTTTTATTTTATTTTTTTTGAGAACGCCTCAAGCTGTCGTCCAGGGTAGAGTGCAGTGGCATCACAGCTCATAGCAACCTCCAGCTTCTGGGCTCAAGCAATTCTCCAGTCTTCACCTCCCAAGCAGCTGGGACCACAGACACCTGGCTATTTTTTGGTTGCAGCCTCATTGTTGTTTGGCGGGCCTGGGCTGGATTTGAACCCGCCAGCTCTGACCTTAGCCATTTGACAGGCACCGAACCAGGCTTTTAAAAAATTTTTTTTTTATTTTTGAGACAGAGCCTCAAGCTATCCCCCTGGGTGGAATGCCATAGCATCACAGCTCACAGCAATCTCCAACTCCTGGGCTCAAGCGAGTCTCCTACCTCTGCCTCCCAAGTAGCTGGGACCACAGGCACCCGCCACAACACCTGGCTATTTTTTGGTTGCAGCCATCATTGTTGTTTGGTGGGCCCAGACTGGATTCAAACTCGCCACCTTAGGTGTACATGGCTGGCGCCATAGCCACTTGAGCCACAGGCACCAAGCCTAAATTTTTTATTTTGAGAGTGTCTCACTTTCGTCCTTGGTAGAGTGCCATGGCGTCATACCTCACAACCTCAAACTCTGGGGCTCAAGCGATCCTCTTGCCTCAGCCTCCCCAACAGCCGGGACTACATGTGTCTACTATAACATGCTATTTTTTAGAGACAGGATCTCGCTCTAGCTAAGGCTGGTCTCAAACTCCTGAGCTCAGGCAATCCACCCTCCTCGACCTCCCAGAATGTCAGGATTACAGGTATGAGCCAACATGCCCAGCCAAAAAGAGTTAATCATTGAGTAGTCAAATATTAGAAGGATTTAGTTACTTCTCAAAATCAAGTAATTATGCTGTCTGCATATATACTGCAAGATAGCTACGTTCAGAGTCCATAAATACCTTCTTAGGCTCTGGTGCGGTCTCTGGTTCTTCTGGTGCTGATGTGGTTGTGGCAGCAGCAATGGCTGCAGAGGTTGCAGGAGCTGTGGCAGCTACAGCCATAGCCTTTTCCTTCTTGTGTTTTTTGTGCTTCTTGTGCTTCTTATCCTTTTTGTGTTTCTTGTCCTTCTTTTTCTTCTTCTTCTTCCCACCTCCTTCTTGATCTGAATTCTGGAAATCCAGATAAATAACAGTAATATAATCAATCCAGTTAAAAGTTTGTCCAACTCAACATTCTATTTCCTCAAGTGAATATCTAAATGGACTAATCTCAAAATTGTAAAAGATTCAGCAGGTGGGAGTAGGGAAGGCTCAAAGCCAATCACTACCAAGAAAAGTATTCCCACAGATGGGAACCACACTGAAAGCAAAAAAAATTTTCACACATTCTAAGAGTAGGAAAGGGCCTTGAAAGTAACTGATTCTTACAATTTTCCCCAACTAACTTCACATTAAGCCAGGCTTCCTACCCGTAAGATGGCAGTCAGGTACCTAGGACTGGACTATATCAAGGGCTACCTCCAGATGAACTGAATTCCAGCTTTTTTTTTTTTTGAGACAGAGCCTTAAGCTGTTCCCCTGGGTAGAGTGCTATGGCAGGCATCACAGCTCACAGCAACCTCCAACTCCTGGGTTCAAGTGAGTCTCCTGCCTCAGCCTCCCAAGTAGCTGGGACCACAGGCACCTGCCATAACGCCTGGCTATTTTTTGGTTGCAGCCGTCATTGTTATTTGGCAGGCCCGGGCTGGATTCGAACCCGCCACCTTAGGTGCATGTGGCTGGCACCTTGGTTGGTTGAGTCACAGGTGCTGAGCCTGAAGAATTCTCCTATCTGTAGAGAGGGGGTAATTTGTTTTTCTTCACTGCCAATATACCAATTATTTTTTTTTTGAGACACTGTCTATGTTGCCCTGGGTAGAGTGCTGTGGCATCACAGCTCACAGCAACCTCAAACTGTTGGACTCAAGTGATTCTCTTGCCTCAGCCTTCCAAGTAGCTGGGACTACAGGGGCCCACCACAACACCTGGCTTTTTGTTATTGTTGCAGTTTTTGGCCGAGACTGGGTTTGAACCTGCCACCTCTGGTATATGGGGCAGGCGCCCTACTCCTTGAGCCAGAGGGCTTGCCCGACCTGGCTATTTTTTGTTGCAGTTGTCATTGTTTTTAGGTGGCCCAGGCAGGGTTCGAACCCACCAACTTCAGTGTGTGTGGCTGGTGCCATAACCATTGTACTATAGGTGCTGAGCCATATGTATCAAATGTATGGAAAAGGCAGGCTTACTATTGACCATCTGGTAATTTTTGAATTTCACATTTCTAAGCAATTACTTAAAATTTCTCATAACCCATAACTAGCCTGCACGATAATTTAGTCAACCATATTAAGATGACATCTAACCCCTTATTTAACATAGCAACCTGTCCAAGATCAGATTTATAACTCACAAAGGAAAAACAAGTTAAACTCCTATATTTTAATAACCCAATGTTATTTTCTCTGCTTTAAAGTGACCATGTGCAAATTTATAAAAGGTGTGCAATCTAAGGCACATACTCTTGCCGGTGATGGGCTTGGTGTTGGGCTTTTAGCCTTTTTAATTGGTACAGCTGGTGACCAGTTTGTAGAGGGTGACTGAGACTGGACAGGGGATGGAGGTGCTGGGAGCTTTTTAGCTGCTGGCTCAGGAGATCCGGAGACAGACCGGGAGGATGAGACCCTCCTCACGGACTGTGGGCTTGGTGAAGCAGCCCTAGACAAAGGAAAAAAAAAGAAAAAACACCAAAACCAAAAACCAACATTAGCAATGATATCAGACATCTTTTTGTAAGAAAAAATAAGTTAACCAACCACATTATACAACCAGATTGCAAACTTCAAACATTTTATAACAGTTTGGCAGTTAATTCTACTAACGTATATCAATTCACATAACCTAAGTCTCCTAGAGGGTAGCTGAAGCCTCATAAATCCTCTATCCACTGTTATCGTTGCTTCTCTTATGAAATTCATAATGCCAGTTTCTTACATTACACACACAAGAAATGCTTATGTATTACTTGAATTTAGTTTTTAAGACATAGCTTTCAAAATATGTGATACTACTGAAATAATTTTTATCTTAAGGAACTACTCTTAAAAGGGAATAGGATTTGTGACTAGCACCTATAAAGTTTGGCTTAGAATGTACATTCACAACTCACTCCTTTCTGGAATTTCTCAGTAATGCAAACAGAAAAAAAAAAAGCATTCAAATACAAAAGCTATGGAAGTAAGCATTCCTAACCAAAAAGCATAAAATATTTTTACTTTTTTGTTTTTTTAGGTTCCGGAGTCCTGGAGACTCTCCTAATGGGCCTAGTACTTGGAGATGGGGACTGCCTTCTTTGGGGTGATGGCGATGCTCCTCTTCGAACAGGTGGAGGACTTGAGGAGGTCTGAGGAACTCGAGGCCGTGGTGAGGGCGAATGCCGTTTGTTTGGTTGTGGTGACCGGGGCTCCCGGGTAGAGCGGCTTGGCGAAGATCCTTTCCTATGCTTTGATGATAATGAAGGTGATCGTCTCTTGGTGACTGGGGAACTTCTTTGTTTAGGAGGTGGAGAGTGAGAGACCCGACGCTTTGGTGGTGGAGATGGTGATGCCCTTCGTTTAGGAGGGGGAGGAGGAGAAGCTGTTCTTCTCTTTGGAGGTGGAGAAGGAGAGTATCTCCTTTGTATTGGAGGAGAGTATCTTCTAGGAGAAGGTGAGCGCCGACGAGGGGGAGGAGAAGGAGTCCTAGGAAAAACACACATTATTAAGCTGAAAGGCCCGAGAAAATGAGGAAATGGTTTATAAAGAATAACCAGTAGTCATGACTATACTGTAATTAGCACTGGGCAAATGGAATACATCATATTTATAAGACATAATTTTATTCTCATTAAAAGTAAAAAAAAATTACTTAGTAAAACTTTTATCTTAGATGACTACAAAACAGGACATTCTGATTAATGGAGGAATTCGCAATTTGCAGAAAATGTGTCAAAGCATTTGAAAATAACCTATATGGAATTTACTTTTTTTTTTGAAAAGCAAACCTTCCATTGCTTTGAGGTAACTGTGAACATCAGTTATGATTATGTAATAACTAGGTAACTACATTAGCAGGACTCTACTGACTATGGTTAACTTACTCAGAAAGGGTGCGCTTTAAAGAGCTCTCCTATGTGGTGTCCTCTCTGAACTGGCGTTTGGACTCTGCATTAATAATTAGAGTTCACTGCACAAGCTATTAAAGATAACTCCACCTCCCCTCAAAGAAACTGCTTCACTTTCTGTCTCAAAAGACCACTTTTCACTACTGCTGGGCAGAATGCATCTCCATGAAGACCCAACCTGGCCTTCCTCGGAATCCTTAATTCCTATATAATCCTAACTTGACTTTTAGGAATTAGACTTGAGCATAACATTCAGGCCCAAATGCCTAATTTGTTCACTGATCTTTAGACTCTGAGCTCAAAATAAATAAATTCTTGCCCAGAATCAGCTTTACAGAAGGATATTTTGAGGGCCATGTGGCAGAGTGCAATTACATCATTTCACTTGGGCAATTATTTACCTTCTGAACTTCCATTTCTTCACCTGGAAAATGGTAAAAATACACCTACCAAGCAAGGTCGCTTTGAGGATTCGAGGTAAAGTATATAAATGAAACAGCTAGCACTCTGCCTGGCACTGAACAGGCAGGCATTCAAGAGTGGTAGCCAGCCATATATGGTTTGGCAATGTATTTGAGTAACACCATTAAAATGGTTTTCTAATTTTTATTTTAAAATTCAAAACTATAAAATTATCCTCAATACTTACTATCAACTAAAATACCAATACCATCCTAGTCATTTCTTTGTTCCAGGAACTTAAATCTCCCTAGTTCCCACAAATCTGTGAAGGTTCCTCAGTTTTTCTCACGACTGACATTTTTGAAGAGTACTGTCTGTTACTTCGTAGAGTGACCTGCACCATGGGTTTATCTGACATTTCCTAATTATTATTATTATTTTTTTGAGATAGAGCGTTAAGCTGTCACCCTGGGTAGAGTGCCGTGGCATCACAGCTCACAGCAACCTCCAACTCCTGGGCTCAAGTGATTCTCCTGCCTCAGCCTCCCAAGAGGCTGGGACTACGGGTACCTGCCACAACGCCCGGCTATTTTTTGGTTGCAGCCGTCATTGTTGTTTGGTGGGCCTGGGCTGGATTTGAACCTGTCAGCTCAGGTGTATGTGGCTGGTGTCTTAGCCACTTGAGCCACAGGCGCTGAGCCAACACACTTCCTAATTATAAAACTGAGGTTCTGTGCAACTGACAAGCATTCTACAGAGGTAAACAGGAAGTACATCTAATATGACTTATTGGGGATGCTAATTTTGATTACTTAAGCAGGTATCTGCCACAATTCTCTAATAGTTATTTCTTTTTAATCACTAGAGTCATATCACCTTTTAATTTATTTAGCATCATTATTGCATACTAAAAAATCCACCTATTTTAAAGTATACAATTCAGTAGTTTTAGTATATTCACATGGTTGTACAACCTTTGCCACCCCACATTCCCAACTCAGTCCAGATACCACTGATCTACTTTCTATCACTACAGATTTGTGTATTCTGGACTTTTCAAATAAATGAAATCATGACATGTGGTCTTTGATGACTGATTGAACTACACTACTCTAATAAGATAAAATAATCACAAAGATTTGGTCATTCCAATAAGCCTGAACTGGCATATTCGACAAAGTACCTTCGTCGTGGTGGTGGTGTAGGAGATCGGCGCCTTCGAGGAGGAGGAGCAGGAGAAGGTGAACGTCGCCTTCTAGTAGGTGGTGGGGAGGGACTTCTTCTCCGTCTACCACTAAACCAAAGAAGAATTATAGGTAATTCTGAGTCAGTGGCATTTATAATTAAGTGACCCAAAAAGACAGTTTCAATAATCATAAACCCAGAGGGCAATACTGGTTATATGTTTCAGAACAGTGCTTTTTCAAACTATAGGTTGCCAAGACCCATTCATTAGGAATTTGGATGTGAGGCAACATTACAAAAAAAAAAAAAAAAACAAAAACACTCCCCAAGAACACAGATTTTTAACTATGACGCACATCAGCTGGGAAGCTTTATCTGAACTTTATGTCTATCTATGTCAGGGCTCAAGTCTAACCAGGTGTTTTTGAAAAAGTCTACAGGTGTTTCTGTTGTTAGGAATCAACTGCTTTAGAACCGCTAATAAATTTAAAATAGAAATCTAGCTAGTGGCTTATAAGACCTAAATCTGGTGTCACTGCTCTAAACTTTTAATTTTTCTGATGTATCTTTACTACTCTAGTGTTGAATACTGTTACCAAAATACATTATCCCAAGATAATCCATCAAAGTTGTGTGAACACTAAAGCTATCCTGGGAAAAATGCAGTTAAAATATAGATGAGAACCACATAAAGCTTAATTTTATACTCTGTTAAAAGTTAATCAACACGAAAAGCACACTTGAAAAATAAGATTGTAGGCTCGGTGCCTGTGGCTCAAGCGGCTAAGGCGCCAGCCACATACACCTAAGGTGGCGGGTTCGAATCCCCAG